ATCAAAGGCGGCTTGGACGTAATTACAAGATGTGCACTGCACTCCCAAAAAACAAAAATTTTTTGTACATTTTTGGAAAACTTTTATCGTCAATACTTAATACTACTACTATGTTTATGAACTATGATGATATTAATATATTATACTTATAGAATCAGATTGCTATAGTCCACTATTATAGCTAATTAATTTTCTCCGATGTAATTATCTACTAAATAATCTCCATATTCTCGGTATTTAGGATCATCAGTAATTTCAGGTATAAAATCGTCAACGAAACAATCGGAAACTTCATCTAGATCGAGGAAAGTTATACCAAATGTAAATTTTAATCACATGTTATCCTTATAAGTTTAAGTTAATCTTAGTAATTGAATTTTCCTGTACCAAGCTTGAGTCAAAAAAAAGCGACGGCCTATAATTTCGGATAATGGTCATACTGTTTTCACAGCGAGATGTATAGCTAATTCGAAATCAACAGTGACATATTTTTGTTTAAACATTAAATTGAAATTTTACATGGTTTTATTTTTGATGTATGATAAGGCAAGTTGATACGTTTCTGTCGATTTATTATTTAAAATACAAAATACTAATGGTACATAATAATCGTTTATAAAACCATGAATAACAAAAAATTGAACAAAATATTTTGGAGAGTACGAAAAAGTCCCGTCAATGTTTATCGTTTCTAACTTACATAAAAATTTTAAATTTTCGTGACATGTAAATATAATTATATTAGATAATTTGTCATTAATAAATAAAAAAAATCTTCGTTTTTAGAAGTGGTTAATTGTAGATCAGAGATGGCAAATAAGTGGCACGCGTGCTAATTTTAGCACGCTTGAGATTTTCGATGACACTCGAAAAACTTTCATTTGTCCGTATATATTTATATTAATAATATATATTTCACAACAACGTATTGTTATCTTATCTTTTTTTTATTTGATAGCCTTTAGTACAGAACTATGACGGCTCAGATAACTTATCTTTATTATTATAAAATATAATTTATATGTTGTAATATAGTGGGACACTAGATTACTAGTAGTGTGTGGACAAGTTAATATTATATAGGTAATCAGTTCTCGTTCGTGTATTGAGAGAATACATCGTGTGCGAATTTAACGTTATTATATTAATTTTTAGTCAAAATGTCACATGCAAAAAAACAAAAATTACAGGATGTTCGAAATTTTTTACCATCATGGACAATTGAATATGGCTTTATGAAATATGGAGATAAAAATTTATGTGGTCTGTGCTCTGAAGTTATTGTATCTCGGACATCTTCTATCAAACGACATTTTGAAACAAACCACAAAGAAATTTCAGAGTTAAATATTGCTGAAAGGAAAGAAGTTATTTCTCAACGCTTGAAGGTAATTGAAAACCAATCTAATTTGTTATGTAAATTCGTAAAAACTTCTAATAATGTCACTGAAGCAAGTTTTGAAATTTCTCATTTAATTGCCAAATACTCAAAACCATTTTATGAGGGCGAGTTTTTAAAAACGGTCATGTTAAAAGCTGCTCCTAATCTATTCCAAGATCTTAATAATAAAGATAAAATACTTCAGAGAATTCAAGAATTACAACTAAGTAGAAATACTGTTAAAGAAAGAATTTTAAAAATATTTCTAATCAACTTCAGTCTGATATTAATAGTTGTGATTTCTTCTCGATTTGTTTGGACGAAACTACTGATATAAAGTCATCTGCTAGATTAGAAATTTTCGCATGTTTTTTAAACGGGAATGAAATGCGTGAGGAACTTAAAATTAGCTAATATACCAGAAAGAACAAGAGGTACAGATGTTTGTGATATTTTTATCAATGAATTAAAAAAACTCAACATCAATTTAAAAAAAATTATTTCCGTTACGACTGATAGAGCACCCAATATGACTGGAGCATTAATAGGTTTTGTTTAGTTATTTGAAAAGCATATTGGACATCCAATAATTGAATTTCACTGCATCATACACCAGCAAATGTTGTGTTCCAAAGTCGGCACAAGTGATTTAAAAGAATTATCAGAACAAGTTAATAAAATTATTAATTTTATAGTTGCTCGTGATATGCATAAAAGACAATTTAATAAAATTTTAAATGATGTTAACTGTGAATATGGTACTCTTTTATTGTGCAATAATGTACGCTGGCTAAGCCGAGCTATATCATTAAAACGATTTGTAAATTGTTTGGACGAAATTCGCCTATTTTTACATGATAAAAAGACTGAATTTAAAGAACTTTATAATACAGAGTGGCTAGCAAAATTGATGTTTTTCACAGATCTAACATTACATTTGAACACTTTGAATAAAAAGTTATAGGGACGCGGGAAAACAATTGAAGTCATGTTTGGATTAATAAAAGGCTTTGAAATTAAAATAGATATTTTTATTAAGGATGTCAAATCTGGAAAATTTCTATACTTCCCAAAAGTGAAATAAATGTAAGGGGGGAGTGGACATTTTTAAATAAACCAATTGGGATTTTACCAATGAATTTTCAAATATTCTTGGTCTGATTAAAATACAGTTTTCACAAAGGTTTCATGATTTTAAAAATATTAAAAAATTAATAAAAATTATTTATTATACCGATTTATTCGATGTGCAAGATTTTGATGATTACTATCTTAATTGGATGGAATTAGAAAATTTAGAAATACAGTTAATCGATTTGCAAACTAATCCAATTTGGACAAACAAATTTGTGAATATGTGAGAGTGTATCGAAGTATTGGAACGTCATCGAATACAAACCGAAGAAATAGATGTTGATAACATAATATTAGAATTATGGAATAATTTTCTAGAAAATTTTTTTTCTGTCAAAAAATTGACAATTTCATTGTTAACAATTTTTTCTTCAACATATGCTTGCGAATATCTATTTCAGTATTAAATCATACACATTCAAAGGCTAGGAACAGATTAACGGAGGAAGATTCGGCAGCATGTATTGCCTTGCAATCAACAACTTATCAACCAGATATAAAAAACCTTTCAACCAATATGAAGCAAAAGATTAAACAATGATAATTTAATATTTTTTTTACATTATTTCCATTTTTACATAATTTTCTACATTATAATCATTAATTTTTCATTTATATTTTGTTTTTGTATTTTGCTGTGTTAATAAAAATAATTATGGCACGGCTGAAATTTTTTTTATTTGAATTATGTCATAAATTGGCACGTTGAAAAAATCCTATTTGCCATCCCTGTTGTAGATCGTTTAATGCTTTTTGCACATCAGATACAGATTTAGGATTCGAAGGGTTTTTTTCCAAGCATAGTAAATATTTTTTCGTATAGCGGATAAATCAAATATAGTGAAATCTGTATTAGTTATGTTGTTATTAATTTCAGTTATAATAATTTTCCTAGGACGAATAGGTACTTATGTCTTCGACAGCCACACGCTTGCTTGCTGTCGTTATATTTTATATTGCAATAGTTGAACATTGTTCGTGATTATGCAAGTCTATAAAATTAAAATCATTTATGATTTGATAATATATGGATTTTATATTACATTTAACACATTTTATTAAAATAAAAATTAATGTTTGCAACCATGCTTTTTAATAATTTTCCCACATTGAATTAATATTTTTGCTAGACATATTTTATTTAAAAAACGCCACCATTCAACATTTTTAGAAGATGTATACACCAAAATATAGTTATGGCCATTTTCAACAACCATATTCTTCCCTCTTGTGCTTGTCGAGAACGCCATTCTTACGATTTATAATTCAAATAATTAATAAATTCGAGAATATTATTTAGTGTAACGTAACGAATGTTTGATGAAATCACACTGCGATCGTTCTTTTGACGAATATCGATACCTATGTATCCGATAACGGAGTACGATAATATCATAATAAAACTGATATAAAACTTGTTAATTTATCAATAATATACAAAGCTTTAAAATCTATAGACTTATAAAAATAACTTTACTATACGTTATAGATACGACGTCTTTAAAATATAAGAATTAACCAAGTCGTTAATATAAAATGTTTACACAGGTAAATTTGTCGCAAATTAGCTGTGTTAAAAACATACATTTTTTTATTTTGGCGCAAATGGGCTGTACCCAAAACGAATTCATTTTTTTTGGCGCAAATGGGCGATGCTCAATATAATATACTGATTATTTGTTTAATCCCCCCCCCCAGATTTTTTTCTACTGTAGTGGCCAAAATATAGCGGAGGGGCACATGGTCCCTTTCCCCCTGCGGGCGCCCATGATGGTAGTGGTAGTGTTTAAATGTAGGTGGGTGGTCTGAATTAATATGTACACTCCTAATATCAATTGTCTCAATCCGCTACTGCTTCAAATTTCTTCTTTTTCTAAATTTATCGGCAGTTGGTTCTACTTTCTGTTACCGGCACATGATGGGGATCCCATTCTTCGTCGTTACTTTAAATATATTTTTCTTCATTCGATTAAATCTTGATTATGGAATTTTTTATCAGTTTAGTGTCTTTTTGCAATTTGAAGAAACTCAACAAACTTTAATCTGCATGTCTCAAGACGATAATGGGTTACCAATCTTAGATTAATAAAAAAATAAAAAGTGATTATGGCATTGAAGTAGGTGAAAAAAATATATTGCCCTATGTTTCTGTATCCAGTTTTAATTAAATATATGTAAAAAAAATACTTTTGTATCTAATATATATAGTATACCTGCTGTAAATAACATATTTAAATAATTAATCAATAAATATGTATTTTAATATACATTTTCAACACTCGCATTATTTTTTTTCCCCCTTGAAAATTCTAACACTCACTAATTCGAAAATCTAAATTGAAATATAATTTTCAGCTTGATTTCTTGAATTTTGAATTACAGTTTATTGCTCGTAGTAAAAAAAAAAATTACATTTATTAATAACATGGTTGCACTGTGGCTCTGATATTATTATCAATTGTCAACCAATTATTTGATAATCTGCTTCAATAACTAAAAACCACGATTATAGATCCTATCTAATCGTAACTATCCTATCTATATTCGTGCTAAAAACCAAATACATATTTTATATCAGACAATCTGGATAGTGAATGTTTTGTTGTACGATGTTGAATAATTTTGTCTAATAGTATTAAAATAAAACTATATTATCATTTAAAAATAATGGCAAGTCAATATAAAGGGTGTTGTGTGTCCATAAATTGTGTGGATGGTTCAGTTGTTCAAGGTGAAGTAAACGGAATGTCAGATGACAATGAAACATTAATCCTTAAACGACCATTTAAAAATGGTATACCACATATAGAAAATGAAATTCATATAAAGTAACACATTTTAATAACCAAATTTATTAGACCTGAGATAATTGTTTTGTTTTTTTTTTAGGGCATCAATGATAGAAAACCTTAAGATTATTAAAGCACATTTAGAAAATGAACAAACTGTTATTAATCAAGGAACTAAAAACATTAAAAAAAATGTGTCTGTATCTAAACAAAATAATTCAAAGCAAAAAAATAAAGCTAAAGTTTCGAATTCTGAATCTGGTTTGTAAATTAGAGCTTTAATTGTATAATTGTTGAATTTGAACAAATTAACCAAATAAATGTAATATTTTGTTATAACAAGTTTTTAAGTAGAATTTTTATTTTTATTTATAAGTATTATTTTATATAAAAGTAAATTGTAATCATAGTTATTTGTCATTTATTTATTTAAGCTAACTATTCATAGATTATTTAAATGTATTATTGTATAATTGATTTAAAAATAATTTGTACAATATACTATTAAATGGTGCATTAAATGTTTACAATTTATTTTTTAGAATCATTGCTAACATCTCAACCATTGCAACAATCACAGAATTTTACAAATCATAAAGAACGAAATGATGCCTGTTTTGGTGTATCACTTGATACAATAGTTAAAGAAGATTTTGATTTTGAAAAAAATTTGGCCTTATTTAATAAAAAAGAATTTTATAACAAAATTCATAAAAAACCAGATCTTGTACCTCATGAAAAAGTAACAACTAAATATAAACATAATGAAAATGTATTACATTCAACTCCAGTGAAGTTTAGACAAGTTACAGTTCCTTCACCTGCTATTAATGAATATATAACTGGTAAATTTTTCTATAAATATGTGTACGCAGAGTTATAATATAAATACTATACATAATACAGAATATTATAGAAATATCTGAAAATGTTTTTATAAGTGGAGTGTAAGGAACAGCACTTCCAATTACACCTTTTATATATACTTATATTAATAATGTCTCATTATTATAATCATTTATAGATGATGGATTAGTTGTCCCAAGTATAACTTCAGAATTACGATGGAAATTATTTAATCTGGTTGAAGAAAATGGTCTTACATCTGGACGTCAAAATGAGATTATAGGGCGAGCAGCAACTGAAATGGTTTTACAACTTTTAGGTGGAGGTTATAGGTAAAAACTTTGAAAATATATTTACAATCTAATCTGTTATCTAATTAGCTATAATTTTTATTTATGAACATAGATTTAACCCCAGAAATGAACATCAATGGCCTCGTGTAGTTGTATTGTGTGGCCCTAATCGATCAGGCGCAATGGGTGTAAATTGTGCTAGACAATTAAGTAGTTATGGTGTACATACTGTTGTGGTTCTGTCTGAACCAGGACTTTATACTCCACAGTTGGCTAATGAAATGGCTTTGTATCAATTTACAACTGGTACGCTGATTACCAGTGCAGCAGGTAATTTGTTATATGATACAAAATAATTCTGTTTATTAAATTATTGTTTGTGCAATTTTAAAATCATTAAAATATTCATTAATAATTTACAATATATTTACTTATTAAAGCTAGGCTATAGCCAAAAAGATTTCTATGTTGTTTTTATCTAAATGATTATAAATTTACCTATTTTTTGTTATGTTAAAAATGTATAATGTCTTTAATAAATTGATAAGATCTCAGAACTCAGATATTGAGATAAAAATATATATAAATTGTTTTCAAATTTTTAGAGTTACACGGCTTATTAGATCCAGATTTTGTAGTTGTATCTTTGGCTGATGAACAAACTGAAGCTGTTTCTCGAAATATTACTAATTGGGCAAAATCTATTAGATCACCACTGATGGCAATAGACCCTCCATCACAAGGAACACCATCAATAGTAGTCAAATATTCTCTTGTACCAGCTTTACCTTTATCTTACAATGAATCAAATGGTAAAATTTATCTTTGTAATATGGGTATACCTACTCAAGTATTTCATTTTGCTGGTATCCAATACAAATCACCATTTGGTTCCAAATCTGTAATACCTTTACACATAAATGAGTGAATTGTAAAATTAAAAGATTTATTTGTTTTTGACGAATCCTAGACAATGATTTTAATTTAAGTAATTATGTTTTGTGTCCCATTTTATTTTTATATATTTTTTTTTTTTATAGTCTTTTAAATTGTGTAAACAAATAATATTCAATAGTTATAGATTTTAAATCATTTTAAATCATGGTTTATATGTATACAACGAATATGTCAAAAATTAGTTTAGCTCAGGGATGGCCTACCCCTACCCACCTTAGAAAGTTTGAAGCCTGCGAGATTTATCAAACATTTACAAAAAAAATTTATTTTTGTCCCAATAAAATATTCTATAATGCTCGGACAACACGGAATCTGTACTATTAACAATGTAATAGAAACAAACGGTTTAATTCATCAACAAAATTTTTTCCCCAAGTATTTTCGATGGACCATGTTATACAACTAGTCATAAAAACAGTGAATTTTATTCAATTACATGCGCTTCCGCACCAAAAATTTGAAGAGTTCTTGAAAGAATTGGATTCAGAATATGGCGATAAAAACAATAATAATTCATTCTGTTTATTTAAATTAATTTATACACCTAAACTTATTTTGTAATAATAATTAATCCTGTTTAAAATGTTTACTCCAGTTTTTATTGTATTGGGTCAAAATTCTAATATAATTTTGTATATGTAAATTTATGTGTAATTATATATATTTATATATATATTATATATTATCTTATATATTATATCTTAATGTATTTCCTAAGTGACACATAAGATCATTTGGGTTGGCCATCCCTGGTTTAGCTGTTTCATTTTAATGATATATTTTTATATTAAATTTATTTTGTATTTCATATTGTTCGTTAAAGTTCCCCAAAATGAATTCTTAAATGTTCTATATATTGTATGTCTTATGTGGATTTATTTGATTTATTAAAATACAAATTATATTAATAGTGTAATAAGTAAGTATAATTATATATATATATATATGAATATATTTTTATACAAATTTTTATTTATATTAATTTTACTGCCAATTTTATTTTTATGTACTTTTTTTTTTTGTACTTATTCAGTTCTTAGACAATGTATTCAAACATTTTTGGTATTAAAATTTTACATATATATATACATAAATAAGTACACTATTACTGTATCAAATAAACAATCTATCCCACCTTTATATTCTATGAATATATATTTATTAATTTAATGATAATTAACGAGTATTGTGATAATTGATAATAATGCACATGGCTTTGTGATTTACAACAAGATCAGTTATTTTTAATATGAACTAATGAAGTAACTTTAGTAAATGAAGAATCAAATGAAGTTACTTTATGAGTTTCAAAAATCATGTAAAAAGTTGGTGTTATCCATTTTAATTTTGGATTCTAAGTGAAACGAGCTTTACATGATGTGATTTTTAGATTCTGAGTGAAGCAAAGAATTTTATGGTTTTACAAAAATGTTTATTTTTTTTCTGTAAACACGTTTTTGAATAGTAATATTGGTTCAAAAATTTCACCTAGCAATTTATTATATTCGAAATCAGTCTATGGCGATACTTTAAAAAGGTAATTTTTCCAATATCTTAATAATTTTTCCAGACGTGTGAAATGTTGAAAAACGTAGTAAAATCGATATAAATGAATTGTAAAAGAAACTTTCACTTTTCAGAATTTAGTTTAGTCATAACTAATGGTGTTCCTATGTCGCAGTGGTCAGCAACTGGTCCACACATATCTTTTATACGGCCCGCATTAAATTCCAAAATTAGGAAACGCCATTGAATATCATATCATTTTTTCGTATTGTCTGGCCCGTGAACCCATTTTAATTTGTGAATGTGGCTGAAGGGTCCAAAAACATTGCCGACCACTGTCATAGGGTATGTACGCCGTATATTCTCAAGTCTCAAGCACTTCGCGGAAAATTAGTTACTATACCTAATTAGTTTTACAGGTTTTAATTTTAACCTTGTTTTATAATATAGGTACGTTGAGTTTTTCCTTGGTCGATTTAAAGTAATTATTAACAGTGTGGGGAATAGATAATGCAAAATTTATCTAGACAAAGATGAAAGATGGTATGTCTAAGTTCATCTAGATAAAGATAAAAGATAATTTAATTTAAATCTAGATAAAAAAAAAAGATATTTTCAAAAAATGTTATTTTTTGGTCAATATTTCATATTTTAATATTAACTATGAAGACTCAATTATAATCATTATTATCGTTTTTAATTAAAATCACATTTTTAATTTAATTAATTAATTTTAATAAAAATTGAACATGAGGTAACACAAATTTACATATGTATAACAATATAATAAAAAAAAAACCATACGAATACGAAGCTCGTATTGCTCAACACTGTCAATAAATATCGACCGGCAACACGACAGCCGTATCACTGGCAACGCATGTTGCTACACGTTCGCAACAGGAAACATCGTGTTGCTTCGGTGTGAGAATATTCTATAGAATACAATATTGTTAACTTAAAAAAAATTTTTTATGTATTCTGTATTCATCCTGTTACGTATAGAGCAATTTTCATTTTTTTTTTTTATGTTACATTTTAGTGATTAACTATCATATTGCACATTATATATAAATACTGCTTAATGATACACTACATTACTACAATAAACATTAAACACCTAGGTACCTAAGGCGGCTCTCACACCGGAGCAATAGGCAACGAGCAACTAGCAATCGTCGATAAGCAATAATATTGCTAATTGATTAATCTCGTAGAAAATAATGAATATTCTCACACCGAAGCAACACGATGTTTCCTGTTGCGAACGTGTAGCAACATGCGTTGCCAGTGATACGGCTGTCGTGTTGCCGGTCGATATTTATTGACAGTGTTGAGCAATACGAGCTTCGTATTCGTATGGTTTTTTTTTTATTATATTGTTATACATATGTAAATTTGTGTTACCTCATGTTCAATTTTTATTAAAATTAATTAATTAAATTAAAAATGTGTGATGAATCCGCGTTGAACATAAAATTTGTAGAATACGTCGAACAGTATCCATGTATTTATGATTTGGTATCACGTTTTGTAATACTATGTTCAATTAAATTCAAAAGTTGTTTAAATGTATCTGGGCTCATTCTATAACAGCTTTTGAACTGCAGTGGATGAAGTTTAAGTTCATCTGCATAGACATTTGCACCATATTTTGCAAGCTGTTTAAACGCTGGGTTAATCCAATATTTACGTTTTTTATTTTTTATTTTTCTTCTTCTTAAATTCCACCAGAATAATAAAATATCGTCTTCATCAGACGATGACATGGTTGCTACTGCGTTGCTTATATTTGAGAGCTAGGGGCAATACGTATTGTCTGTTGATTATTGTTAATTGCTAGTTGCTCGTTGCCTATTGCTCCGGTGTGAGAGCCGCCTAATAATATTAATTTGATGATTTTCATTATTCTATAAGTAGTTACGACTCTACGGGTTCCAAGAGTAAAGTATTGACTATTCAGTGTGTGAGTTACGTGTGTATACTAAAATAAAATATATATTATAATAATAACTATATTTGGAACTTCCATGGAAAAATAAGAAATTAAGTTTAAAAATACCAAAGATATTTTTCCGACATGAAAATACAAACAAAATGTCATACCAAGAAATAATAATTACTTATTAATAATACACGAATTATAATTATAAATACAAAATCAATATATATATATATAAAAAAGTCGGGTTAGTTACAGAATTTATAATTCAAGAACGGCTGGACCGATTTTGATGATCTCTGATTTATTTCATTCGTCTCTATACAAGAATAAAAATAACTCTAATCTTGGCGATAATTCAGACAATTATCTAGATAAATAAACATTTTATCTTAGATAAGTAATTAGATAACTTAGCGTTATTTATCTAGATAAGATAAAAGATGACAAAAAATCTATCTAGATAACAGGCGCGGATTCAGGGGGGGGGGCTATGGGTGCTCGGGCACCCCCTGTCGCCTTGGCCACCAACAAAATAAATTTATATTATAAATTATGTTATTTCTTATTTTTCAAAATAATAATAATAATAATAAATAATATCGGTTATTCCGTTATCGGAATTTAAATAATTTAATATCAGATATAAAAAATAGATTTTTAGGTCACGGACACGAAACGATTATGTATTTACAATATTTAATACCATTTTTCCTACTTGAAGATACAGATATCGAAAAAATTATTAAATCGGCCAAATTTTATATCGATGATCTAATTGGCTCGATAGAAGAGGTTAGAGGTGAAGTTACTTTGTGGAAACAATTTTGGAAATCCCAATTAGATAAACCTAAAACTGCTATAGAAGCTTTGACTCATGCATCTGAATTTTATCCTAATATAAAGGAATTGCTAAAAATTATTTGCGTTATACCAGTTACCACTTGCACCGCAGAAAGAATATTTTCCTCACTTCGACAAACAAAAACATATTTAAGATCAACAATAGGAGAGGATAGATTAAATGGACTTATGCTTCTTAATATTCACAGGGATATTAAAATTACTCCAGAGGAAGTTATTGAAGAATTCAATGAAAAACACCCAAGAAAATTACAGTTACAATATATGTAAGAAATTATTGTTATTTTTAAGTTTATATTTAATAAATACTGATGTATGAAAAAAAAGTTAGCACCAATAAATCAAATAGAAAATATTAATTTAAATAAATAGAAAGGTGTAACAATCTTTTTTTTTTTGAGCACCCCCTGTCAAAATTTTCTGGATCCGCGCCTGCTAGATAAGTCCCAACATTGATTATTAACGGTGTACAATGTATTTACGATCTCTCAGTGATAATTTATTCAAATAATTGTAATTTCTATTTCTGTAAAAAATAAAAATGTATAAATTTCAATTTTATACTACCCAATACAGGGCCGTATTAGCTCAAAGGCACTATAGGCACTGTGACTAGTGTCTACGAAAGTAAAATGTGTATAAAACATAGAGTAAAGAATGTTAGTAGAGTAAAGAATGAAAATGTTTAATGAATAAAATTATATACAATCTGTACACGTTAGCACAACAAGTAAAATATTATTATGTATAAATTATACACATATAAACGTGCACACTGGGAGTGCCGAGTGTGTTCGGACACCCCATGAAACGTTGTAAAATAGGCCCTACATTCGACAAGCTCAGAGTAAAAGTTCCGTATTTTAACCGATGTTGCTCGAATTAATTCAAGTTTATTCTAAAATATTTGGTAAAAATTAAATGGCATTTAGTAATCAGAAAAATAAAACTAAATTTTCTAAATGTTCGAACAAAAACTTATTATGATAGTAAAACAGCTATAATTTACTACAAAAATATATTCAAGGAAAACATATTCGTTGGGACTTATAAGCCACAATATTAAAAAAAAAAAAAATTAAGTTGTGTTTAATTATTTTTTACGTTATAATCTATACATTTTACGCATTTTGTTAAAATAGGGCCCAAAATTATAATAGGTACCTCCTGAAATACAGGTCTGCGCACGCCTATGATTATACAGTATAATATTTCTCGTATATTTACATACAAAGTTCATTATTGTAATTTGATATTACTTATTGAAATCAGATTGGATACATCATGAACCGATAAAATGATGAACGCTCACATACAGTCATACGACGGTGTATGATGAATTGAACCCAGATTATTGTTTTGAGTATTTTAGGAAAATAGTAGAAAAAATATTAGAAAAATAATATCGTTTACGTAATATAAATAAAATAATAATAAACTGCAGACAAATACACACACATGCACACTCTATACAAATTGGTAAATTTACCGTAAAAATGGAAAGACGAAAAAAGCTTATTAAGATTAGACGAAATATTTAATTTTTTTAACTGACAAGAGTTTAAAAGATAAAAAAATACAAACAAAAGCAAATAATTTAGTTGAAGCCTATAAAACTGATTTGGAATCTGCATCTTTTAATGAGTTTTTAATCTTTTAGAACTTTCAAGAAATTGGAATGTCTGTCAATGAAATGTTAATGAAACAAATAAATACCAAAATGGTAACAAGTTTTCCAAACGTAAACGTTGCGTTCAGGATATTTTTATCGATTTTTAAGGATTTGAAGGAAGATAAAAGATAGTTTTTAATTTTAAAGAGGATTAAAAATTAGAAGTGATAAACTATTGGGCAAGATAAATTATCTGCATTATTGGCACTTGCAATTTAATACGGATTGCCCCAAGAAATCGATACCACAAAAGTTATTGAATCATTTACTAACAAAAAATGTCGCTAAAAAGTTTTGTAACTGTAAAGTTATATTTAAGAAATATACTTCACTATAAGTATTGTTATTTTCTTTTGTTTTATTCTTAAATACGAGAGATAAAGAAATATGTAATATGGTATAAAATAAGTTATTTTTTTTATGATTTCTGGCAAATTAATTTTTAACAGTTTAGATTTAATTTTTATGTTGTAAATATTTTTGTTTTTAATATCAAGATTCAACGCTTCCTCTTTCAAACAGAAGGTTTCTTAATTATTTAAATACTAGATACCAGGATAATACAGGCCTATATTAGCACATAGACAATAAAGGCACTGTGCCTAGAGACTATGGTAGCGTTAATACGAGCCTGACCCAATATATACTACTCTTTCCTTCACCACCGACTAAATCATAAACATTTCCATATTCAGACCATATTCAGACATTTGTCGGTAGAGTATACTCTTAATAAAGTTGATGAGTACATCACTAATTATAATTCCAAATGTAATGTATCTAGAAACTTGAAACTTTCACCTTACATCAATGACATTTATTTATCATAATTGATTACATTTTCAAAAAAAAGTTAAGTACTTTTGATTTAAATATAGAACATTGAAAATAACTAATTTTTTGAAAGTTTTATTGTAATAACATTTTTATTTTAGATATACAGACTTGAAAATTTAATATTACTATACTCATATACTTACATAATAATACTGAAAATATTTAAAAAATATTTTTTTTTGTCTTTTATTTAGCTAGGTATCAGTATAACTATTTAGATCAAAAATTACAATAAAATTAAAATTTTAGTAAACATAATAATGATTATATAAGAAATAATAATTACATATTCTAATATGTTAAAGGGTGTTTTTGAGTTGTGGTCATGGGGGGGAAAATTATTTTTCTTCAATACAAACTTAAAAATAATTTACATTCCATTACCTACAGCTCTTGTTCCTGTTATAATGATAAGTTATCATTGTAACATATTCCTAAAAAATACAAGCCATTGAAGGGGGGGTGAATGCTCCCTCCTCAAATACGCCCTTGAGTAGAATTTTATAGTTTTTTTTTTTTTTTTAATAAATATTATTGCTTAATTTTAATTTTTTTAGTGCTTATAATGTTTTTAACTGCTATAAGTTCCGAGCCCTGGTTATGAGATAAAGATTAGATAAACATAATAATATAAGTAGTATCTTCTTCTTCTCCTTCACCTTTCTCACAACTATTTAGGGTCGGCCATTTTTGTCATAAACCTTCATTCGTTTCGATTTTTTTATATTCTCTTCGCACACACTAACAGCCTTCATATCATTCTCAATCGTATCCAATCATCTCTTTTTTGTTCTTCCTCTTCCTTTTTTCTTTTGAACGTTTATTTACATAACCACTCTTACTGTATTTGTTTTTTCTCACCTGATCACATACCCAAACCATCTTAGTTTATTTTCTCTCTTTTCATTATCGACGCTACAACAATACTGCCTCTCACATATTCGTTCTTTATTCTTTCTTCTCTTGTTACTTCAATCATAAGATTACTTAGATTTTTCTGTTTTTAATTCAATGCGTCTATCTTCTATTCTTAAAATAAATTGATGGCTAAAATATTGCGATGAGGAAAGCAAAGAGAAACTAACTCATAATACTCCCATGCTAAAGCGATGAAAATAGACAAGAAAAGGAATATAGATACAAACAATAGGAATCGGAACCCGGAATCCGGCAGGGGAAGGAGGAGCAGGGCTCCCCAGGTCGTCATCCAGCGAAAACCAGGCCACGTAGTTAATAAAAAAAAATCATACTAGAATAGGTACTTGGAACGTAAGAACTCTTTTGAGTCCCGGAAAACTGGAAGAGTTGAAACAACAAATGAGAGAAAAACAGTTAGATATTTTAGGAGTATGCGAAGCAAGATGGGGTGACAATGACGATTTCTGGAGCGATGACTTTAGAATAATACATAGCGGATGAAAACAAGGAAAAAACGGAGTGGCATTGTTGTTAAACAAAAATTATGGAACATGCATAGAAAATATTTATCACATAAATGATAGAATACTTATGGTTAGAATTAAAACAGCCCTAGCAAATTCGACCATAATACAGGTATACTTCCCAACATCTAATAGTGACGAAGAAATAGATTTTTTTTTTTTATAAGCAATTCCATTTCAATTTATCAGTGTTACAAAATTCAAAATTATTACCTCTCAAAGAAAAACACTTATAGAATAATTTTTAAAAATGTACATGTATCTTTTAATTTTTTATTTTTATTTACTACAAAATTGTAAAAGTAATGGTATTATTGTACAATATTTATACTCATAGATTATTAATTACATCATATTTAGGTTTTTAAATAAAAATATATAAATTAATAATTGATAAAATATAATACCTAGTTCTATAGTTAAAGAAATATGAAATTATAAAAATAATGGAATAAATACTTCGTTTTTAGAAAATAAATTATTGAAATTAAATGTTATTACCAATGTAATGTATAAATTAGTGAAATAAAAAACGCAGTATATATTTTCCATTACAGACAATCAAAAATATTTAAAAAAAAATCACAGATAATATAACAAAAATATTACTTGTATTCAACAACTGGTAACTGAATCGGCTCTGAAAAGTAATTTTAATAATATTAATTTATTTAAATATTTTGGATGATTATTTAAATACAAATAAATAATATAATAGAAAATATATAGAACAAATGAATTAGTTATATCTACAGATAATTTTAACAATAAAAATAGTATTTTTATTAAAATAATATTTTCTTGCATACAGTTAATAAAGAAACTATTAATTAAAAAAAAAGACAAGATTAATATTGAATACAATAACAATAATTTTCTAGAAAAAAACCAAATTAAAATAAGATATGAAGCTATAGACATGAGCTATAAAAAGATTTGTATTTTTTTGTATAGTATAAAAAAAACCCATAGTAAATAAAAATTAACTTAGTTAATTTAAAATTGTAGAAATATTATCTAAATAGATATGAAATTTTTGCAAGTCTAAATATTAAAAAAAATTTTTAAACTTATCTTAATAGGTAAATTAGTGTTAATTTAAGATGATGTACATAAATAATATGTCTTATAATTTTGCATTTAAGCAGTTTTAGCAAAAATGTATAGCAAATGAGATTAATTCCCCCAGTAAATTTTAGATAGCTAATAAAAATATATGATTTACGCCAAATGTTTATAAATATATTAGAATCACTACTCTCAAACAACTAATAAATTCAAAAGTATAACATGAAATAGGTAACTTTTTCTTAACAGATTTAATTTGCAATTTTTAAGTTAGGTAAGTTTTTATTTTTAATTTAAACGATCAAATATATTTGTGAATTTAATAGTATGGTAACCCGCATGATGAGCATTTCACTTTTAAATAAAAGTTATTTCTCTCTAAATTTTTAATAATTTTATTACCAAGTAGTAGTAAAACCTTAAGTCTAAGTAAAATTATTACGAAAATATGACTAGTGTATATTATTAATAGATAAATATAGTTTATATCTTACTCTTGGTTATTAAAATAAATCCCAGATTGAGCATACATTTTTCGTGTTATAATAAAAGAGAATAAAAATATTGCAACTCCAAGAATAAATATAATAATTTGTAATCTAAATGATTGTCTGAGAAACATACGAATTTGAACTTCATGCCATACAGATTCTGTCCATGTAGAATACTCCGGTGATGATAAATCATAATCTGAAGACATTGTCAACAAAACATTTCAAAACAATACAACATAGCGAATAATTACATAAATTACACAAATATAAATTACAAATGTTATACATACCCGGTATAATAAATGCTGGACTAACTGCATCAGTAAAATTTGACGTTGTTAAATAACATGCATTGTAATTTCCATTTAACCATACAGATAAAAATCCCTTTAAATAAAAGTACATAAGTACACAAAAAAAATAATAATCAAATTCCAATATAATAGTATAATTAATACATAATAATTTGTAAGTATAAGAAACAATAAATTACTTACTGGTTTTGTTTCATAATCAATGCAATTTTCTTCATTTTGAACTTCCGTGATCTTCTTGCCAAAAGAAGCAAACAATAGTCGGGAAAGACTAGTAAGTGTATTAGTGATCAAATCTATACTAATATAATAGTTAGGAGGATGGTCCGGTAATAGTAGTGGTGATGTCAATGATTTAAATAAATCACAATTAATAGACTTTACATAACAATCTAATAATTTAGTCACCTGTAATAAAAATAAATGTAATTCAATAAAGTTATCTCATATAGTATAATATATATTCGTTATATAACTTACATAACTAGTATTTACTTCCTTTGAACCCTGGTAAGGGTTATTAGTTATAAATGTATAAAGTGAGTAACTTAGTGAAGTTGATATACTGGCAATAGTTTGAGAAATAACATCATATTTTATATTACTAGCATCATCCAAAATACTATGATAAAATCTATCATACAAATAACCAAATTAATTATTATTTTAGAGAACAATATTATGTCTTGAATATATATATAACAATCAGTACAAAAATTAAAAAATTAATCATTGAATGTATTTATAGTAAAAACATATAAAATGAGTAAATAAAACAAAAATATAATACAGTAAAAATATTTTGTAGGTTAATTTTTTGGTTGTATTATTTATAAATTTATAATTATGAGCATGTCAATGAATACAAAATATATAGAAAAAGAAACATAAAACATAAAAAAACAAACTATAATTAAATAAAACCCAACTAATAATTATAAAACTTATATTAAATATTAGTTACAATAAATTTTATTGTTTAACTAAATTATTAAAATAAAATACTGAACATAAATTATTCCATAATCAGCTTTAAGATCAAAATTATTTAATTACTTGATTTAAAACCAAATTAAAAAATAATTCCATCAGGAATATAAAATTTTAACAATTAGATTATAGAATACTGAAACTATATAATTTACTTAAATCTATAGAAACTATTTTTAAAATAATATACATACTCATTTTTAAATTTGTTGTTAAATCCTGTCAAAAGAACACCTGGAAAATGAGGATCTTTTTTCAAAAATGAATGCAATGATGCAGGTGGTACGGACAAGCTTTTTGATTCATAAATATTAAATTCGTCTTTGGTAAGACTTTTATTGAATATATTCATGAAATTTTCTACATTTTCACTAACCTAAAATATAGTAAGTATGATAAAGCAGAAATATGAATCTAAAATTAGGTATGCTTATTATATTAAACTAAGAATATATATTATACAAAGAAATAGAACTTACATTATATTTAATTAATCGGTGAAAAACAACTTCTTTCTCATAGTGTATTTGAGATAGTTCTACAAAAAGGCCAATATGATTTTGTTGAAGTTTTATTTTATCATTAGGAAAATTTTGCATGTACATGTCATAAGCCACTCTACTAGATCCAATGTAATTATATGCTTCTCCATTAAATAAAATAAACATAATGTTTTTTGCTAAAAAAAAAAATTATACATAAAAATAATAAAAACTTTATATTTATATTAACTTACAGTAATTTTTAGCATAATCATAAGGTAACATTTCAGAAATTAAATTAGCAGTAGCCATTAATGTAACAATTGATGTAGCTGTTGACAAAGCACCAGGGGCTAAGTCTTGAAACATAGATGTAGCATCTAAACGTGCAGCAACAACAGCAATGGAATGATTTGTTGTATTTGGTTGAAATTCTTTAAGAGACCAATAAACATTTTTATCGCCCAATACATCACAAAATTTAACTACAAACATCAACATTGATATAACATTATTTTGAAACATAATTATAACTGTTTATTTACTTGGTCTTATATTTTGATAAGACAGTATAGTTCGTCTAATACATGTTTTTGAATCTACTGCAGCATACATATGTGATTTTAACTCAAGAGCACATAAAGAATGATCATTTTGATTATTTAAAGGTAAATTATGTTTTTTAAAACACTGGAAAAATAATAGTATTTAACATATAAAAATTATACTTAATAATTGGTCTTAATATGGTGAATTGATAAATTTTGTGGATATCATTGTCTGATGTACTTGCTTAAGGAAAGATGACCACCTCAGTTCTACGCAGTAATGTCATACTTCTACATACATTTGTATACTAGGTTATAAATCAATTAAAAAAAAAACATGCTAGATATATAATTTAATATAATTTAAACATTAAATCAGCCTGAGTATTAATATCAATCAATACTAATTAATTTCATGAAATATAAAATGGTCAAGTTAATTTAAGTTGATGGTATAATAGTGTTGTATGAATTATAACATGAATGTATTATAAAAGAAAGTTTTTTGTTACATATTAGAATTTATGTAATATATTATAAGAAATTAATGTTACAAGTACAAGCATTTTAAAATTAAATTTGAAAGCCAAATCATTTTTATTTTAACTAAAATAACTTGTTTGTATTTGAAAATAAATATATCTAGGTAGTGTCAAACTGATAGTAGAAGATTATAGGGATTTTAACAATAACCATAACATACAAAAATATATATTACTTAACAAAATAAATTTTTCTGTATTAAATAAAATATACTACTGAAAGTCTTATACTGATTGAAGCAAAAATATAATTTAATAACAAAATATTTAATATAATTATTATTGATTAATGAATTGAAAGTTGTACTGATTAACATCTTATACATTAAATATTTCATGTTTAATTAAAATAATTATTTAAAAACCAATAAATTAATCCTTTACACAGAGAAAATTCAAAATGTACCACAAAATATACCAATTATCTAATTTAATCCCCATTTAATTAAATACTTAAAATAGAAATATAATTATGTTTATTAAATGTAAGTATTTTAAAATAAAATACAAAATATTTATCAAAGAAAAAAAGTAATCACTAATAGTTCAAATATTTTATGTAATAAATTAAACATCAATTAAAGTAACGTGATTAATTTTATTTAGGTACAAAATTAGAGAGGTTTTTTCTCTTAAAAATTAATTAAATTTCATCTCCAAAAAAATATGAGTGCTTATCTAAATATAACAATTTTAATATTTATTAATTTATATTTATATTTTAATATTTATTAAAAAAAAAAAAAAAATTGAAGTTAAAAACCTATCTTAGATATATAAAACCATGTAATATTTGTTAAACCAATTTAAATTATATAGTTGCATTTATCTAATATTTATCAGTACTTTAAACTAAAAATTTATTTGGTGTATAAAAAGTTTTATTAAAATGTTTTGTTTTGATATTCTATAAAACAAACTTTCACAATAAGTATCTTCCTGTTACAAATGACTCAGTCTTTTATTAATATATGAATTCAACACATAAGATAATATTTTAATTAAAAAAATTGATTATTCTTACATCTATAATTTCTTTGATAGCGTTTTGGTTGTAAACAACAAATATAGGGAAGCTCCAGCTTTTTAAAAGAATGTCAGTACCATAAGGGTTCCAAGGTTCTGATGGACAGCTACTTATACCTGAATAACGATTGGGACATGTATCTTCAGGGCTGAATCCATTTTTTAGTAAATTATCATTATTAATTACTTCTTGATTAGTCCCATTCATTAATAACATTATTCCATTTACTTTATTAAAATTCTCTTCAATTAGTTGTAAAACCTTACTGCAAAAAACATTCTTAAATTTAAAATTTTTTTCAATAATCATAATTTTAATAATTAACAAAATTATAAATAACAGTTGAAATAAAAATTGAAATGTCTCTAAAATATTTTAAACAGTTTTTTCCTAAATAAATGATAATTATACCTAAAAATATAATTAATAATATACATTACTTATTAAACATTTTAGGTGTTAATGCTACTATATATGGATTAGCCATTCCTTTATTTATTAACCAATCTAAATCAGTTAAATTTGCTATCAAATGCAACGTTCCCACATTTCCAAATCTTGAAGCTATAAAATATAATTTAATTAATTTAAAATTAAATTCATATATTATTTATATATATATTTGCATTTATGTGTTAAATAAAGCTTACAAGTACAGCCAAATTGATTGGTACCATTCAATCTAAGGAAACAAGGGTTACTTGCAATGATATCTGTATACATTTGATCTTTAACTGAAAGAAAATTTGAGAGAGCTAAAACAATAATATTTTGTATAATTAGTTCAATATTTCGAAATAAGATTGTTAAATGAACTTACTAAAAGGCGCATAATGTAAACAAAACAACAAAATAAAATATAAACTCATAATTTCGTTTATAAAGTTTCAGTCAACAAATATAAAAATTTGAAAAAAAAACTAAAATAGTGAATCACTAAAGAACAATAAGTAAAAAAAAAAATATTCTAACTACATTTTTGTACATCAATATGATTATGTCCACTGCTAAAAAATTATGCTAGTAATTTGAAATAAAATTTAACTAATATTCCTACTTTTGACTTTGAATTTTTAATTATTAATTAGTAATAAAATGATCACCAAAGAAAATCTGACAATTTTAATTTGGATTGTAAAGATAACACATATTGATTATAATCATAATGAAAGATATATAGCATTAAGTTTATCTTAATCGTGATAAACAATATAATGTAATATAAATAATAAAAATAAATATAACCTAAAATAATTAAATCAGTTTTCAACAATATTTGGGGTATATCTTAAACCGTGGTTTTAAATGCAATGTTAACGCATTTTGTAGTAATATTTGAGCTCGTTATCACAAACTATAACATTAATACACATATAAATAAAGTTATCTATCATTATTACTAAAAGATTACATAAATATAATTGTTCTGTGATATTACCAAATTTGAGGATCATTTAATTCAAGGTTTTAAAATATAGGACCGTGATTTAAATATATATATTTTCTGTAACCATATTAACTATAGCCGTGATAGGAATACCTATATATAGTTTTATATATTTATAGTTAATATTCTATCCACGGTCTTGGAAGAAAAGATTATAATTATAAGGTCTATTCCAAGACCGTGATTCTATGCAAATATTATGGTTACATTTCTCGGTTTGAAATGGTAACCACCCTCGAACATTGTTAGAGGCATGACATAATAAACATAATTTGTTACTGGTAGTTTTCTTAGAACTATTTACAATTTCATTACAATCTCTACTTGAACATTTAACATGATTTTGTATCTATTTTGCTCACACTGGGTCTATGGTTGTTCAACAGACCACATACCTTTTTGAACGTTTTTTTAACCAAATTATCATAGTTTCTCTCAATTTGTTACTACACTTTTATTGTTTACATAAAAATAATTTATTTTTTACTGAACTACAGCGGAAAATCAGTGTTTACAGGCAAGTATTTTTTTTTTTTTTTTAATAATATTTTACTATTATATAAACTAATAATTGAGGAAATACACTAATAGCAATTGAAGTAATATCGATAATTATTGATCTTTTGTTATTTAAATTGCAATTGGTTGTTTTTGAGAATTTGTATAAAGGAAAAAATAGAGCTTTCATATTCTCATATTGCATAACTGCCTTTTAAATTGTACTTTTTACAGAAAATATATCTTAGCCTAGTCCTTGGGCTTTCATTTTTCTCTGTTATTTTTTCTCCATCACTTTTGCTATTCATAATACTCAAAAATTATTTTCATAATATCTAACCACACGTGAAGACAGAAGTAAATCAATACATATTCTCTATAACTCTGCTTTTAACTGTACTTTTAACACTTAACTGTTGCTTCTATAATTTATTGGAAAATTGATTTGTATATTTTATTGAACTTTAATTTATTTGCCATTTACCTTTTTATTATTTATTGATTTAAATTTATTATATAATTATATTTTTATTAAATATTCATGTTTTAATAACAAGACACCTTTTTTTTTTTTTTATTCTGAAATATATACAATCTAGGTATAATAGAATATAAAATGAATAGTAGAGCTGATTTACTGTTGACTGGACAGCATTATAAAAGGGGATGTCTAGTGGCAATACTTCAAGAAAAAGATTATTATTTTAATTACCTGTTTGAAAGATTTCTTAGCATTTACTCTAATCAGCGACAAAAAACATTGCTTATGAGTGGATTTATGTGATTGTGGATGTTAATCTTTTGACGCGCTACTGTGTATTACATGAGTAGGCGCGTGTTGTACTTTATACTACAGAATGCTTTTCATATATATTTAATTAAAATGAAGGATAAATAAAAAAATTTTAATAGAAATATTTTTTTGTAACATTTTATTCCTATTTATATAATATTTTTTTATAATTTTGTATGATAATTTCAATATAATTGTTGATAAAACACGATTTTTTTTTTCTATTTCTTACTAAATAAAAGTAACACAATATAAAATAATACATTATAAAATAAATAAATAATCAAATTATTATAATAAGATCAGGCGCAAGACATATTTCGTTCGGACGGAGTTGACTGAAATATACATCAATAATAATTTGAAAAATACGTAAGACTAGACAACAATTATTAAGTGTTTATAACATATACGTCATTGTAGAATAGGAATAATCCCAGTATTAATCGGGATTCGTAGATAAAAGTTTTGTCAATAAATCTATAATAGTCGTACAAATTGCGCATACACGCCTGCTGAAAGGTTAATATAAGCATTTTTGTACATGTAAATAAATATGGTAGTTATTATTAGTATTTTTATTGTGATTTAGCACATAGTTACTTACATACCATTGAGTATCAGAGTTGAGAAAAAAACTTATGGTTTAGAAAGACTGGATAATTTTAATTTTTTTGACTAATCGTCATTCTCAAATAAATTGTATGTATAAAAGAGTGCTGAAAATTAAATTTTTAAACTTTAAAAGTTTTCTGATGTTGAATATTTTTCTTATTTAATGTGACTAACCAAATATAATTTCTTGTCTAGATGAAATATTCAAATATTTTTAGACAAGACATTTAAAAGAAAAAAATGTATTCAAAGAGTTTGAAAAAATATGATTCTACTAATTAGAAGTGCATCAATTCATGCATCACTTTCTGCATTATAATAACATAATTAGATTTAATTATTGAAAATAAACATTGTGCCTTTAAAATTGTTTTGTTTTATTGATATTTGTACATGTTTTTCATTAATAATGCTTTATTAAGATTGTTTAGTAATGGTCCACAGACTAAAAAAATTACAATACGCAAAAATGACTAATATATATATTAATTCACAATTACATTTAAATTATATAGTTTAAGTGATTTCAGAATTATTTTAAAAATTAAAATGAACTATGGAGAATTAATTATTTGAATATATTTTAAAGCTATTGCTACTATCATAATATACTTTATTTAAAAAATCAATCACTAAAAAAATTCATTAGTTTTTTTTTAAGTTAATTATTTTAAAATATTTCTAGGAATGGCACCAAAAAAGAAAACGTACAATGCATTCTCAGTATTTATGATGGAAACTCAACAGAGGTTAGCGAAGACAGGCAAAAAAATGAGTATGGCTGACATGCCAAATTATTGTAAAAAAGAATGGGAAGAGATGTCTGATGACATGAAAGATAAATATAAAACTATGAGTAAAAATATGAAAAATGGATCAAAAATTGAAAAATACACAACTCTTGGAGAAAAAGTTAAAGATGTTCAAAAACAATCAGAAGAGAGTAAATTACAAACAGAAGCTATGTATTGTTATATTGAAGAGTTGGTCCGTTTACATCATGACAAATTATATCTGCCTAAACAAACATTCATTTTGATTCATGTAAACCCTTATTCATCAGAGAAAGAAGGCTTTTATTTCCCTGCTGAATTAACTATGGCAGAATTTTCTTTAGAAAAAGGATTAATTCGTAGGTTTCATCACTTAATTGGATTTGATGCAACTAAGGCAAAAGCTCCAATCGCTTGTGCAGCAGATATTAATTCTCATGCAAAAAACAATCATTTAATTGACATATACTCTAAACTAACTACTAATTACACCGGTTTATTATTAAAAATTATAGGTAAGTATATGCATAAACAATACTATATTAATCTATTTTTACTAAAATGTATAAACCTTTTTAGGTTTCATAATTAACAAAGACGTCAATGAGGATATATTAAATGATCAAACTTTAGATATGCCTCCAATATTTACTGCACATACTTCTATTGGAAATGAATTAATGATAACAACTTCAAGTTTATATCAGCTGTACCAAAGTGCTGTGAAGTATCCAGAAAGAGATGATTTCAATAACCTTATTAAAGTTTATCATTTGGATAAATTATTCATGGAACTAAAAAATGTATCTTATAATTTTAAAAATCCTAACGATGATGACAAAGCAATACCTTCCGTTGCAATAGCAACTGATAATTTGACAAAAGATATGTTTAATATAATCAAATCAATTGGTTGTACATTTCATGAAAAACTTGAATATGCTCATGTTTGCAGTAATTTCTTTGTGTGTAAATGGATTTATATTCTTTCTACTCATTGCTGTCATTATTTTAATATCGAACTAGTTGCAGGTAGTCATTTTAATTTTGATTTACCTAAAGCAGAAATTCAAATTTCAGACGATTTTGATCAACTTAATATTAGTAATAATTATTTGTTCATGAATGAGTCAATGAATAATTCGCAAGATATCACTGCTAATAGTTTCCCATCTCTTGATAGTAAATCATCAGAAGTTATGCACCAACCTGTTTGGAATAGACCAGTTGAACAAAAATTAACTGCACATAATAAAACAATTTCAAGTAAAGATGACAAAGACAGTTTTCCTCCATTGAGCTGTTCTCAAAGAGACATTCCAGAAAACACTCCTACTATTGGTAAAAGCAGCTGGTATAAAAATGCAGGTCGTGGTAGAGGTATAATAAATACATGTCAAAAAAGTAATGTACCTCAACCAGATGAAACTTCAAGGAATACCAACCTGGGAAGAGGATCTAATGTTAGTAGAAAAAAATGATGAAAATGTGAAATGAATTAAAAGTTAAATTATCTTTTAATAACTTAGATAAAAATATTTAATTTATATGCAACTCATTTTAATGCAGAGTTATGTATTTTATTTTAAGCCAAGAAAAATATAAATCATAAATATTGTGAAATTTTTTATAAAAAAGGATCCATGTATTTCTATGAGTTGAGCAAAAATAAAGCTTAAAATTTAAAACATTAATTTACTATTGATTTGATTGATATTGTGTCTAAGGTTAAATTAAGATTTTACTCATCTCAAGTGAGTCAAATTAAAAAATATATAATTTAAAATATAAATTAAATAATTTAATGATAAATTTGCAATAAAATAAAATTTAATTTCACTCATTTAATTAAATTATATCAAATGTTAAATTCCTAGTTAGATTTAAATTTACTATAATCTGTAATATTGCACTTTTAGTAATCTGATTCCTATCCATCATGTTTATTATAATTTAGTTTTTCATATTAAGCTATTTCCTTTATTCAGGTTTTTTGTAGTTTATTTTTGTATGATTTATATAATAACCCGACTTATGTAGGCAACAATCTAAATATACGTGGGTATCTGTTTTATAATTTAGGAACTAAACAACCATTCCTTAGTAAATAAGAACATACTTGTTTTAATGAACACATATTCCTTAATTTATTATGACCCTGAAAAGGGCTGTTTTCATCTTATCGTGTGCTCCATTACAATCTCTTACAAGATTTAACTTTAATTTTTAACTGAGCAATTATGTGTATGTGCTCAATTACCAGTGATTCTCAGCAAATAAAATACATAATTTTAACATAAAAATGCTTACTTTAAATTCTTAAACAAAATTTATCGAACAACAAAGGTAGACTGTTTACCATTTTAAGTTCAACTTTTAAAGCTGGCTCACTGATCTACAACTATAATAAATGTTTCACTATCTTTATAAAATGTAAATGTTTACAAATTTTAAAAAAATTAACTTAATGCACTAAAAATACATTAATATGCGTCAAAAAATATAATTTGAAATTTATTGAATAAAATACAAAAAAATACAATTTACATAAATTAGATATATGGGAAGCAAAAAAACACTGCACATTTGTTTAATGTTGTCTTCCTATTATATAATTGTAAAGCATAAATGTATAAAGATATTATTATGTATTAACTATATCAGAGGTTCCCAAACTTCTTATAGTACGACCCATTTTGGAAATTATTTCAATTTTGACGACTCAAAATAATATCATTGACCTTTTTTTTTTTTTTTGCTATTTTTATCATTTTAAATTGAAGAAAATTTTTATATTTATAAAAAAAAGTTTATACTATATAATTTAATTAGTAAGTAATAATTTTAATGTGAAGGATGTAATTGTTTCCTATTTTTCATAGCTGGATTGATATCCATTTTTTATATTGATTGCAAAGAACTTGTAGTAAGCTCATCATCAATTAATTTTCTCTTATAACCGCTGACTCAGATATTATCTCTGTTTCTTCAGTTTCGTAGAACTATGAGTAATTGACTTTTTACTTAACCATTTGTCCATAGTAACTATACAAAATCACAAAAAAAACGAATTTATTGGTTATCTGAAAAATAGCAAGATTTAAACTGCGTGCATGTATCGTATTCAATGTACCGTTTGTTACTAAAATAATCAATTTATTTGAACGTCATTCAGGTACCAATTTGTTTCAAATATATTGCTATATTTTCAATAATCATTAATCCGATTGCATTGTGTTGACACAGTCGAGCATAGACATATAAAGAAATATCGTTATGTCTATTGGTCGCAGTAAATTTGTAATTGTCACAAACCCAGATAACAGTTTATAATAAAACTAATTAAACAATTAAACATCAACCATAAGCAATAGAAACACATGAAAAAAAAACGCGACCCACTAAAAATATAATTGCCACCCCCTTATGGGTCGCGACCCACAGTTTGGGAACCTCTGAACTATAACATAAGCTGTACAATCTTCATCAAATTTTAATCTTTATGTATAATTACATAGATGATACCAGTGGCGTATATAGGTTTTCATTTTGGAGGGGGCCGATTATGCATTTGATTTTTGGATGGAAGAGAAGGAGGAAGCATACTATTACGAAAAAAATTACTTTAACACTATAAGACTTCTCGACTGTCTTTATACCATCAGAGAAATAAGGAACTTAATTTTTTTATTGATTTATTATTTTTTAAAATTATAAAAACTACATTGTAATAAACAAATTTTTTATTAAAGTCACTCAAAATTAACCATATATTTTCTTAAAAGAATAAACATATTTTATAAATATAAAATTTTAAATTATCGCATAAGCAATATTCTCAGTGTCGTGACAAATTTTTGGAAACCTCCAGCATTAAGACATATCCATGTTAAAAATAACAACCTTTAACAATGGTGTTTTTCATTTCGCATAGGGCCCGGGCCCCTCGGCCCTACCATAAATACGCCCCTGGATGGTACAATAATAACGCTTAGGTAAATTTAAATAAAAATTAATTCGTGCTAGTTGGCGATCGCTGTTACGATTTCTCAGCACAATAGAGATTATAATATCATTGTTAAGTGGTTTGGGAACAATATTAAAATAATCATTGATAAATTTATTTATTTTGTCCAACAATATAAAGTTCAGAATTTTAGTTGTCATAAATCTAATATTTTTTTGTTGAAAAAAAAATTGTTTCATGAAATATATAATAAACAAATAAAAGTTCTTAAACATAATACATAAGAATCATACAAAAAATAACGAAATATGCAAAATTATGCAACAAACATTTTTGTAGTTATAATCTGCTTTATATGAATCGAATTTGTATCGAACCAGAATTTCCATATGCACTTTCTAAATAAATATGTAAATGCCTAAAATTCCGAGCTTAGGTTATAACCTAATAACTATTTGTAATAAGTTTTTGGAATCAAGAGCGGATCCACAGAGCTGTGGATCAAGCTATTTCAAGAGACTACTAATAAGGGCTGAAATTGGATTATAAATGTATACCCTGCAACTAAGAGTGGGGGTTGTAACCCCTCCGGAAATTTTTCTGTGCTTTTTACCAGTGGCGTTTACATAACTTTAGTATGAGGGGGGATTAGTTGCAAACAAATCATTATGGAAGAAAAATTCTTAAACCTATGTACCTGCACATTTAAATAATAAATAATAAAAAAAATATTATTGAATGTGTCAAAATAATAATTTACAATCAATTCCGGGTTAAAGGGGGGGGGGATAAAGGGGGCAGCTGCCCCTTGGTGGCAATTTTTTATCTGCATCAATAAAAGTTTTGAAATTTTCTAATGTATATACTAGTTTTAGGAAAAATTATTAATTTATTATTGAAAAATATTAATAACAATTATATAATATTATAATATAATATAATATATATATTATAATTATAACAGTTATTTTAAATTATATTAAACCACCGAGTTATTTCGTCTGTGGACATTTAGCTTATTAAGGGTAAAACCATATTATTATTATTTAGCGCTTGGACCTATGAATGTTTATTTTCGTTATACTGACAAAAAATTGTGTTTATTGTATTTTTTTTATATCTCTGTGTGTATTATAATTTATAACCATCAGATTATTAAATTTGATATTAATAGTTTCAAATAATTTATTTACACACTATTATCGATTATGGACGAAATAATAAGTGTTATATTATTATTATTTTTTTTTTGGAGGGGGCATAAATAATATACCCGGGGGCGCCAAATTTTTAAATACGAGCCTGACAGTAATTATTCTAATTTTTTCAAAACCCCCCGACATATAGAGGTATATTAAGATATTTATATATTTATATATATTATATATATTTATTATATATTAAGATTTTCTTGCCATGAGTTGAATTACAAATATGTTTCTTGTACCTACCTATAGTATTTAATGTAAAGCAACAGAATTACTACTTAAAATAATAATTAAGTATAGATTATAGAATTATATATTGTATAATTAATGATGTAGAAAAATATTAAACCAGTTATTGAATTTTGACAGTTCATAATTCAGTACATGTAATAAATTAATAAAATCGTCTTTAAAAAAATTAAGAATAATTATTTTACAGCGTTGTACATTTAATTATACTTACTAATACAAAACACAATTAATATTTGAACACAAAATATTGGTACAAGAATACACTAAATTTTAATAAATCTATATTATAACTATATCAGTTACAACTTTTTAAAAATAAATGAACTTACAACTATTTAATTTTACCAAAATAAATTATATTTTGAATTGACTATTTATTTAAAAAAAAAAAAACATTACATTTAAGTATGAGGGATGGCAAATCTTTTAGTTCCTAGATGTAAGTAAATGTAACTTTATATTTGTTTGTATACTTTGAAAATATGATTTGATAATTAAATAAAATCATAACTTTTTGTTTATGAAAAACAGAGCATCTTAGCATTATCTACTTTGTTATATCAACCTACACATTATGTAAATATAATTATAAATTTAACTATTGAGTTATTTAAGATGATGAGTTAAAAAATTCTATTAAAAAAAATATACTTTAACTTAGAACATATTTTAATCCACACATTTGTTGAATATTACCAATGTTTTCAAATAGTATATAAATTAAATATTACAAATAGTAAAATCCAAATTATAAATATTTCATAACCTTATCTTAAAAAATAATTTTATAGTTATGTAAATATTCACAAATTAACTATAATACATTATAAAAACTAAGTATAATAATCAATGTTCAATACTGTTAACTATTTCACAATAATCATAGATAGCGATATTCGTATAAAAAAACTAAAATTAAAATCTTAAATTTCACAAAAATAATGTTAATTTAAATTTTTTCAATCTTATAAATGTTGTACTTAGATAACATATATTATATAGTGAAAGTAATTTATAGGTATTTTATGGAAATAATGTATTTTATATGTCTTTTATAATAAAAAAGTTTTATTATTTTACTATTTTTAAAACTATTAGTTTAATTTTGTTTTATTTATAATGGTTCAAAAAAAATATCTTTGTATGGTTTCCTTAAAATCAAATACATATTTGTTGAATAATTCGTAATTTGTATGCTAAATAACTAAAAATTAAGACATTTTTTGCAAACATTTTGTATTTAGGAAGTGATAATTAGAATCTTATGGAAAATTATTAAAACTTGTTTTTTTATAATAGGGACATTACATTTTTAGTACTTGTAGATGTAAAAAAAGTTATTTTGGTTTTGATGCAATTTGCTATACTACTAAGTTTTTTGATTGAAATAAATTTAATTCTACAATAATTTATAAGTTATTTATAATCTTTATTATAAAGTATAAATATATATATATATATAAATATTATGTTGATAATACAATCAACTATTACTTTGAGACTATAATTAGACTGAAGGTAGTATATTAAATAATTTTCAATGTATACAATTTTACATTGAAATTAAGTTTTGAAGCAATACTTACAAAACAAATATAAACAATAAAAGTACTTATTACTTGCTTATACGATTATTATTTTTTTTTAACCTGAAATAAAATATTTGATTAAATATATATATATATATAAATAAATAAATAATAAACAAAAACTTACTTATTAGCTAATCGTGATTTAAGTGTAGATGTAAATTTATTTGCAACTTTTTTATCTATTGTAGACTTATTTTCTTCTAATATTTTTTTGCAATTTAAAATTGTCATTGCCATTTCTTTACCAGTCATATTAGATACCTCACGTTTTTTCTAAAACATTATTAAAAAAATTAATGTAATAATCCATTTTAAAATAAAATAATTTAATTTGAGTTTGAAATTGGAACGTTTCCAGAACTGGAAAGCTATATTAATTGATGTATATATTTTAATTAAAGATATCATTGATTGTTAGAACTGATAGGCAGGGTATAATAATTTGTAACAAAATGAAAATATTCTACTGTTACCTTCACAGGTTTTTTTTGCATAACAGGTGGAGCATCATCTGAACCAGAATCATCAAATGTATCAGATTCATCAACAACTTTTTCCTTAACAACTTTCATGTTTAAATGACCACCTAAAATAAAGTATATGCCACGAAATATTAAAAAAATTAAATTAACCATTATGAAAGTTAAAATTTCAATTGATCCACATAACATATTGTGTTTAAAAATAAGCTGTAATAATTATCAATATTCTAATTTTCTATAATTATTTTCAAATACTTTTTTCGTCTTTAATTTCGGCCACAACTCCTCTTCTCTTTTTACCTTTAATTTTTCGAATTTTTTCATCTTTATCATGTAATCTAAATAAATTGAAGAATAACTTGATTAAAAAATGTTTTTTAAAAAAATAATATGATTTTTAATCATTATTTATTTAATCTTAGTAACAAATTGCAATTACAATATATACTATACAAGTATTTATGTATTTATTCTTAAAGATTCTTAAAAGATTATTTAATTCTTATTTTATATATATTTTATATATATATAGTTTTCTATCTTAAATGCATTTTTATGAATCTAAGATTTTTGATAAACAAAATTTTTATTTTCTTTAAATAGCACTATTTCCTTCAACATTATAATGTAAATTAATACGAAATTGCTAAATCTTACTTGTTTTAACTATAAATGTTATAACATGAGTTTTCTTTAAAAAAGTTTTAAAAATAAATTATGCACCATGTCTTTAAGATAATTTAAAGAGTACCAAATGATTTTCATTTACTTTTTAATTAATTTTCTGGCCAATTGATTAGCAAATTCTGTACGTTCACCAGTACGTCGATTAGCCAAACGTTCTTGAATTAAATTAGTTAATTCATCATTTGTTACAATTTGAGATGTCATTATCTTAACCAAAAATGAAATTAATAATATTAATGCATTTTTGTTATAATCTAAAATGGCAAATAAATACTTTTTTCTTTGTTGGTCTGATGTAAACACCGTCATCCGATTCGTCTTCCGCTTTTATGATATCTATGCCACTATTTGAAGCCATTTAATAAATTATATGATTGAGTATAATTACCACAGAAAAATTATACTGTAAAATTAATATTACTTGTTCAGTAAAATTAACCATTTTATTTGTTATTCTTATGCCTTATCATTTAAAATGTTATCAATATCCAATAAGTGTTTCTTTTTATCGTGATAAATGATAAAAATTTATAAATCATTCCAAATGCTTAACTTATTGTACATACAATGGGCTTAATTTAAAATATTATAGAATCTATAAATTTGTTTACTGATGGAACAATGTAACATGTTTAACATATCATCATACCAAAACCATCTCGAGGATTCTACCTAGTATTAAGATTACATTTTGTTTTAATCATTTGGATATTGCAAAGTTAGGTTAGTTCCTAATATCATTTAGGGATATTAGGAAAAAAAGTCTCCAAATTGATATTTGATTTAAATTCAGTCTTTTAAGTACAAACAAAATAAAATATACAATTACATATAATATAATTATATCATATTATTTAAAAATATATTTATTCAGATACAAAAGATATGTAAAAAATGTCTTATAATATTATTTAAAAAATATAAAAGTGCAATTATTCAGATATAAAAGATATTTTTCTTATATTTTGACCTATTTGCTTTAAAAAATTAGGAATATCAGCCGATTTGTCCTCATCAAAACACTTACATAAAATGTTCAATCGAACGTCAATTTTTTTACTAGTTTTTGTTTTTTTCCGATTAATTTCTCCTAATGCCATTCTTGCCTTGCTCGTTCCGACTTCTTGACGCATATTTGTTAGTAATTTTTAAATACTGGAATGTTTAATGCCGACGATATGGGAAAACCTATTACTCCAGCCCTCACAAACATTATTAGTTCTTTGCGGATTTGTTGACAGAGTTGTTTAATTAACGTTCCATGATTCTGGTATAAACAATGGTGGTGTTCTTCTTAAAATTATATTGTTTGTTTTTTTAACTTTCCTGAACCTACCTCCAACATAATTTTCGTCAAAATACTGTAGTAGAACTTCTGCTCCAGTTGGACAATTTTGTTTTAAATAATTCATCCCTTTACAAACTTTATCTACAGGAAGAAAAGCCAATCCATCCATCATAACACAATATAAATTGAAGTTTTCGTCTTCTTTATATCGTTTCTCAAGCCCAGGTTTTGTTGTTTTCTGTATGTACTTTGGGATAAATGATAAAAGCACCCACGGATTAAAATATGTTAACTGAAAACTGTTTTGGCAGTTTGTGAACTGTGATTTCAAAGTCAACATTGAAGTATAACGGATCTGGGTATAGTTCGCGATCATTACACTCATTCAAAATTATTTTGAACATTTCTTCATAGGTGTTTTCCGTTTTTTGCTCAAGTAAGCAAAACACTGGCGTAATAAAAAAGTTATTTACTTGGATTCAAATGACGTATAGCTGTAAAAAATGCTCAGTTGCCAAACCAAAATTTCCATCAATAAACCAGGTATCGACATTTACTAACTGTTCCAATGAACTATCTAACGCAAATATTATAATTCGTTCACTTGACTCTGGACCAGTGGCGCATTTAAGGGTGGGGGGGGCGAAAGGGGCAAATGCACCGGATGGCAAATTTTTGGGAGCGGCAAAATATTCTAACTTTTATTATTGATATATTCTTGATTTTTTTAATTTTCACACCTTTTTCGGTATTGTTTAGTATTTTAAAAAATATTGTTTAGCATCTAATAAGAAATTAAAAAAATTATACTATACCTAGTCACTAAGGTAATATTTATATATATATATATATATATATATTTTTTTTTGATAATTTTTTTTGCCCCGGGGCGCGTATATATTAAATGTGCCACTGCTCTGGACCATTATCTTTCAATAAAAATCGCTCATTCCCACAACGTGTCCAATCATCTAAAATCATAATACAAATAATAATGAATTTTAATTTATTTTTCTGTTAGTAATAATACTCCACATTATAGACGTTTATTATTATTCATGTCCCATAGCCTACGGGCCATAGGTTATAGTAATTTTAGATTCTGAGCGGAGTGATTAAATGTATTGATTTTTTAATTTATTTGCTGTGTCTATATGTACATGATAAGTATTTGAAATAATGCATCGACTTTCAACTTTAGGATAAATTTCAAAAGCGCCGGGAAAAATAAAAAAAATAAAGAAAAACCGAGAATTTTTACGTAAAATAGGTTTTCGAAAAAATTGATTTTGGTTTTTGGTATAGCTCTAAAACAAATGACGGATATATGAAATTTTCACCATTGTTATTTTTGGACATTTTCAGTTTTATTTTTTTTTATAAGAATGTAAAATTATTTAAAGTATTTTGACATAATTTATAAAGTTTATATATATATATAATAAATCTATTTTGTAGCTAAAAATTTATAAAATTTTCGACTTTAACAGCTACTTAAGGATTGAAAGTTTAAAACTTAATAATAATAATGGAACTATCAACGCCAGCCGTCGCGTACACTCGGTGTATTTCCGCAGTTGAGTGTAAGATCACGCCACACTAAGCCACTTATAAATTTTTATAATAATAGGTAATGCAAATTACCTTCAATTACAAGTTCTTGTAAACTATTTGGTTTTTTAGGGTTTAAACTGCTCCTTTGGTTACGAATACTTCATTTTATTGAATCTTAGGATGGTAATTCAATTACCTAATATTTCTTTTGGTACATTTTGTACAGCTTGGGCAAAAATTTGTCCTGGATTATTACAAGTCTGAAGTGAACATTCCTTTATCATTTGTTTGATTTTCACAGCTCCTATTGAATAGCGCAATGACAGTGTTCTTCTTCAAATCGTATGATTTTTGTAATTTTCAAATCGGTAATTTATATTGCTGGATATTTCATTGACGATTTTTTGGAACATTTCCATCGGATTATACTCTGGCATGTCTCTTTTATAGTATAAGTATACCCGTCAAGTGTAATTTTATCATTCCCCTTGTTTGATTTAAGAAGTTCCATGGTTAAACACTTTAACTACACTCGTGTACAACTAATACGAAACTGAATACGTATGATAGGTACCTGTATATGGTACTGTGTACAACTGCCAAACTATACCTAGATTATGTCAATTATTGTGTGCGAATTATAAATAAACTATGATACAGTGTATCGAACAGTGTACCGTTATTATCGATGATTATCAACAATTATCGAAGATTATCAGTGGAAAAGGGCTATGGCGGAAACGGTCAATATTTTTTTGGCGGAAACGGATAATTCCCACTGTAACGAGAGACTTTTTTTCCGGGGACTTTTTTTCCGTTTACCGTGATTAGTTAACCTATTAAATCAGAACCCGGCTTCATGCAAGGAGTAAACTTGTATTTCTATATTTAAAAACTTACTAGACTTACTAGACTACTCGAAATGCCTTAATTCTTGTGTTAATCTGTATAATATTGGGAAAATCTTCACTATACCTACGTTTGGAATCAAGCCGAAGAAAAATATTTAAATAGATTACGTTTAATAGGACGAACACTAAATATACCTATGTTTTATATTTATATGATTGGATAAAAGTATAATTTGTGAAGTACTTTATACTTTAAATTTATTTCTTCATAAAATGTTTTATCGAGGAGACGTATTTACCCTAGAGATAATCAAGATTACAGCCATGGGAGGAAAAAATCTGAACAAATATGTGATTTTTTAAAAATTAATTAAGTAATTAGAAAATTTTTATAACAAACAATTTTTATTTTTATTAAACACAATTATATATTTCTAACGAAAGTAATACGAAATTATTTTGAACTTAAAACGTAGGTATACAAAATTATAAATGCTAAAGAAGTTTTATAAAAGCTGTGTAGTAACATATATTTAACACACATAACATAATAGTAACATATATAGTAACATAGTTAACAATAGTAACATAAATATTTTATACCAACATAGAGCACAGTTAGTAGGTAGTAGTGCCTTAAATGGGCAACTGAACGCATTATATGGTCATAGGTGTGTCTGAAAATTTTTTGCAGGTATGGCCAATAACATTTTTTATTAGAAAAATTGAAATTTTCATTTAGGATATGAAGACAAAGAGTGACTTATACACAATACACTACCTCGAGAACGTACGTAGTAATTGTAGTTACTACAGTAACTATAGTTAGTAAATAATATACTTATTCTCTGTAAAAAAATAAAAGGTATATAACATAAAATACAACTAGGACTACACGGGTACTTATAGCTATAAATATTAGATAATAAATATTATTAGTTAGTTTTTGTCACAAACATATTATACGTATATAATATTTTATGTGAAAATATTTATTATTTAGTTCTGTTTTATCTAATTATTATTTTTTCTTTTTAGTTATTATTTTTAACGATATAAGCGTAAATTTAAAACAGAGCTGGATTTTGCAGGTCTGGCCATAGCCGTAAACACGCCTAAGCATATGGTACGGTCTGGGCTAATACAGACTGAACCTTAACCGGTCCATAAACGGTCCAAAATGTTTTAAGATCGATCCGAAAGTCCGGTTCACGGTCTACTTTATTTAATGTTATTTAATTACTAGTCCGATCCGGTTTTAAAATAATATGAAGCCATCAGTTCGGTCCAATTTTGTCCTTAAAATAACGTACTGTCACAGTGCCGTATTTAGACATATTGCGACCCGACGCAAAAAAAATAATTGGCTCCCTTCTTAAGGGCCTGCCCACGGAAAATATAGGAGATAGATCCTCATGAACCTTTTAGATATTCTAAAATCAATGCAAATTTTTGTATAGTTTGTATATACGCCGCACGCGATAACATAATACGCCATATTGTTATTAAATAACTTATGTTTATTGACATTATCACAACAAATTTGGGAACTAATATTAGGTAGGTATATTAATAATATTCTGGATCGCTGATAGCTATATTGCTATAAATACTTTAATAATATATATTAATTAATTAAATAAATTAACATTAATTTATGATACTGTTATTAAAAACAAAAGAAATAATATTTTTGAAATACTTTTAAGTTCACAGTTCATCGTTAAACCTTTTCCTCAACTGATTATTTAGTGATATTGTCAATTGGTGAACTTCATTAGGTAAATGTATGCCATTAACGTAAGTTTCCATAGTTTGGTACATGGAACTAACTAAAACTATTAATTTGGAAATTAATACGGTTTTTTCAGAACTCACTTCAATTGTGACTTCATTAAAACTTTGTAGTACGTCTATGGCCTTCTCAGCTGTATTCCATTCTATCGGAGTTAAAACTTCAATATGAGTTTGTAAGACGGCTAATGTTGAAATTACAGCGTCTATGATGGAAACAATTATCTTCAGCATATCAAATGTCGAATTTCATTTGGTCACAAAGTTGTAGTAAGCCCAACGCTCAGCATAATTTAATAATAAGGTATAATTTAATATACGTATTAATAAATATACCTACGCACAGTAAATCCAAAGGCCAAAGGTAGAATTACACCAATTTTACGTCACTGGAACTCATATAAATACAGGTAGAGTATTTGGCATTAATTAGAAGTAGATAAGTAGTTATGATCTAGACAGTGTTAGACTGGTCATTTACCCTTTTAATTAAATTATTACTCGTCGTGGACATTATTACAGCTACATCGCCGCGAGTATATAATTCTTTACCCAGGCTAAACTGATCTTTATTTTTGTTTTATAACAAAAAATGTAATTTGTTGTATTATTTTTATTTTAACTGTTTGTTATTTTTCTTGTGTTAAATTTATAAAAGCAGTAATTTTTATAAGTGTTAAAATACAAGTGTTTAATTATTTAAAACACCTATCACTCTCACAATCACGTCTCAAAATAACAACGAACGTGTGACGTTGGTTAAATAATTAATATGATACCGATCTTAGTGTCCTGCACAATGATCACTACACAGTCTTGTTTTAATTTAACATAGGTAGCCCATTTGAGTTTGTGTCGAATTAAGTTTTACTAAAGCATTACTGCAACGTTTAAAAACGCAACTATTTTTTTTACTTTAGCTACTATTACTGCAATATTCTCAAGACAGTTTTGAACAATGGGATTTACAGAATGAGTAAAACATCCTAAATGCCGATAATGTAATTGAAGTACAGCAGCAGTAATATTTGCACCATTGTCAGTAACAATGGCTACAATTTTATCACTAACTCTCCATTCAATTGCTAATATTTTTAAATAGGCAGCTGCATTATCTGATGAGTGTCGTTGTTGGTTAAAATATTCACAACCAAGACAGACAGAACACATTTTACCTTCATCATTAATAAAATGAGCTGTCACTTCAATATAGCCCTATTATTTATACAAGTCCATCCATCTGTTGTTAATGAAACTGCATTAGCATTTTCAACTTTTTTTTCAAAATTTCTAAAGTGGAATTGTATAATCTTGAAATTAGATTTTTTGAAACAGTCTGTTGGCAAAAAAAACTCATATACAGAGTTTAACATTTTTAATAAATTCCTAAATTCCTTATCATCCACTATAGAAAATGCATACCTAGCATCTACATTATAAAAAAAAAATTTAAATAGTGGTGTTATAATGTATTAAGCTAATATGACCATATTTACACCAGTAACAAAACTTCTATATTTGTATATTTAATACTTTATAGAACTTATTTATAAAAACATAAAATTGTATCTCAAATATAATGTACTGTAGTTTAGGGTGAAGAGGAACAATTTTAACGATTTTTTATAGATTATGAGCTCAATTTTGATGGTATCGATATCACAAAAACTGTTTTATAAAGATCACATATATAGAAATATATAGTATAGGTAATGTGACCATACGTCCCGCTTTGGGCGGGATAGTCTCGCTTTGGAGCTAAATGTCCCGCTGTCCCCATAGAACCTAAAAATGTGCCGCTTTAAGAAAAGTTGACTTGTGATAGGTATTTATTGATTACAAACCATCATAAATTTATACTGCATACAGTATACACTAAACGAATACCTACATATTATATATATATATATATATATTGTAAAACCTGTATAATAATCCATAGTCAATAGATAAAAATGATACAAAAATAAGTAGGTACCTAATTCTAGCTAATTGTTGCGATCGCTGCCACCGCGTCAATTGCGGGAATCGGCAATAAAGTTAGTTGTTCCGTCGCCTTGTCACGCGCTGCACTTCTAATTTGTTGATGTTCTTTACGACTTAACGTCAGTGCCGTAGCCAGGGGGGGCACTGGGGGCACGTGCCCCCCCCCCCCCCCCCACCCCTTTTTTTTTTTTTTTTTGGCCAAAATTATATTAATATAGCTATATTAATTAATACATTATTCTATCAA